TAACTCAGTAAATGTTTATGGTTCATCTGTAACTATCCATTTTAAATAAGTGAACTTTCATATTAGGGTAATTTACAGCTACAATAACAACAGTATGGAAGCCCATTTCTGCCATATAAGAAAAAAAATAATGTTTTGGTGAATCATAATTATGACATTAAAAAATCATAATTAAGGGATAACGTCATAATTATGACATAAAAAGTATAAAATTGTAACTTTTAAACTCATAATTATGATATTTTGACTTACTGTCCAAATTATAACTTTTTTATGTCAGAATTTCAACTTTTTATCTCATAATAATTTTTAATTATTAGATAATTATCTCATAATTATGACTTAATATCTTATCATTTAGACTTATAATTTCATAAATGTTAGTATCCAATATATTAGTATCTAATATTTTGACTTTTTGTCACAAGTATAACTTTTTATTTCAGAACTGGCTTAGTATCTCATATTTTAGACTTTCATAATTATTATATAATAGTTGAGCATGCACCGATCGTGACGAGCTGCTGCTCAAAACACATGTCAGATGGAAACATTGTGCTTTATGATGGAGTTTGTAGCTTTATTGACTATATTAGAAATAGTTTGAGCTGCAGTTCAGTTGCTGACAGTTCAATAGAAATCAGCTGAAAGCATCCAGTCTCTCATAGCCTACCATTGAAGTGAACGTTCAGTTTATCAGTAGATATTGTAATAAATATTTGAGAAATGATAGTTGTATCTGATTGTATTAGTCTGTATAGAGTGATAGTTAATGTAAAAAGAGCAGATGAACACAGAACAGGTGAAATGTGTTGTGATGATTGAATTTTATTATCTATTATTATTATTATTATTATTATTATTATTATTATTATTAAATAAGTATCCTGTGTATTCATGACACATACATGGATGTCTCTAGGCTGAGCCCCGGATATCTACTAGAAACGCCCCTGGTATCTAATAAATTTGACTTTTTATGCCATAATTATAACTTTTTGTTGTAATGTAGACTTTTTATCTCATAATTATGACTTAATATCTCATAATTTAGATTTTTTTTAATCTCATAATTATGACTTAGGGTCTCATAATTCAGACTTTTATTTTATTATTATGACCTAGTATCTCATACTTTTGAATTTTTATCTCATAATTATGACTTTTTGATTCATAATCAACTATCTCATAATTTTGACTTTTTATCTCATAATTATGACATAGTATATCATAATTTAGACTTTTAATTTTATAATTTTGCCTTAATATCTCGTTTTTTTGTCATGATTACTTTTCATCTCATAATTTTGACTTTTTATTTAATAATTATGACTTAGTATCTCATATTTTTGACGTTTGTCATAATTCTTATCTTCTTTTTATTTCATGATTATGACTTTTTATGTCATAATGATTATTTCCCAAAGCAGTATTTTTTTTTTATATGTGACAGAAATGTAATTAGGATTATTTTCATAATTATGACTTTTCAGTGTCATAATTTTAACTTTGTATCTCATAATTTCAACTTTTTATTTACCAAAGCATGACTTTTCATTTTTTATATGGCAGAAATGGGCTTCCATAGATTGAAATCATGGCTGTTGTCATTTTCAGCGTGAAGATGTTGATGGTATGAGTTGAACCTGATCATGTCACTCCAGCTTTACAGCAGATGAGCGACACGCTGCCGGCGTGTGTTTGTTTTGAGGTGTTGCAGGCAGCTAATGGAGACGCTCTAGTGTTCACAGGCACCTCGAGTGGCTTCATTTGGCATCTATTTATATGTCTGAAATGAGATGTCAAGTGTTGCTCTGTGAAAGTGTGTAAAACTGTTGTTGCAATTAGAGATGAATTTCAAAATGTCGAAGCAAAAGAAATAAATGTTCCATCTCATTTTAATTAAAAAGTAATGTTTCCCATCTAAATGTAATTCAAAATTTACAATGTACACTTTATGCAAGATTAAAAATCAAGCAGATGTAATTGAGCTTGTTATGGTAATTAGTTGTGCATCTTATAAAGAGCTTAATGATCATAATTGCAGTAATAGCGAGAATTCAAATCACCTAATTACACATGCATTTGCGATGATAGAGCTGTGGCATTATTCACATTCATCATATTGAGGCATACTTTACAGCACTTTTGCACCAAATTTCATGACTCGTTCAGGTGAAATATTTCAAACTTTTACAATTACTTTATAGAGCTCGCACTCACAAAGCGCAATTTCTAGCCAATAAAATATTGAATATGAGTGAGAATGACACATGAATATTCACTATAGAAATTTTAGTAGCACTTTATAATAAGGTCCCATTTGTTCAAATTAATGTATTGACTAACAATGAGCAATACATTTGTTACAGTATTATTAATCTTTGTTCATTTTAGTTAATTAAATACAACTGTTCATTCATTGGTAGTAATTACGATTTAGTATCTCTTAATTTAGGCTTTTGTCTCATAAATATGACTTATTATCTTTATTATCTTTATGTTTTATCTTATTATTATGACTTAGTATCTCATAAGTTAGACTTTTTATTTCATAATTATGACTTAGTAACTCATTTTTTACTTTTGTCATAATTATGATTGAGTATCTCATAATTTAGACTTAAATTCATAATTATGACTTAGTATCTCATAAGTTAGAATTATTTCAGAATTATGACTTAGTATCTCATAAGTTAGACTTATTTAATAATTATAACTTAGTATCTCATAATTTAGACTTAATTTAATAATTATGACTTACTATCTCAGAAGTTAGACTTATTTCAGAATTATGACTTAGTATCTCAGAAGTTAGACTTATTTCATAATTATAATTTCAGCTTTTTTAATCTCATAATTATGACTTAGTAGCTCGTATTTTAGACTTTTTATTTCATAATTATGACTTAATAACTAATTTTTTACTTTTGTCATAATTATGATTCGGTATCTCATAATTTAGACTTAATTTCATAATTATGACTTAGTATCTCATAAGTTAGACTAATTTCATAATTATGACTTAGTATCTCAGAAGTTAGAGTAATTTCAGAATTATGACTTAGTATCTCATAAGTTAGAATTATTTCATAATTATTACTTAGTATCTCATAAGTTAGACTTATTTAATAATTATAACTTAGTATCTCATACTTTAGACTTAATTTCATAATTATGACTTAGTATCTCAGAAGTTAGACTTATTTCATAATTATGACTTAGTATCTCATATTTTTTACTTTTGTTATAATTATACGTTTTTGTTATAATTTCAGCTTTTTATCTCATAATTATGACTTAGTAGCTCATATTTTAGACTTTTTATTTCATAATTATGACTTAATAATTCATTTTTTACTTTTGTCATAATTATGATTCAGTATCTCATAATTTAGACTTTTAATTTCATAATTATGACTTAGTATCTCAGAAGTTAGACTTATTTCATAATTATAATTTCAGCTTTTTTAATCTCATAATTATGACTTAGTATCTCAGAAGTTAGACTTATTTCATAATTATAATTTCAGCTTTTTTAATCTCATAATTATGACTTAGTATCTCATATTTTAGACTTTTTATTTCATAATTATGACTTAATAACTCATTTTTTACTTTTCTCATAATTATGATTCAGTATCTCATAATTTAGACTTAATTTCATAATTATGACTTAGTATCTCATAAGTTAGAATAATTTAATAATTATGACTTAGTATCTCAGAAGTTAGAGTAATTTCATAATTATGACTTAGTATCTCATAAGTTAGAATAATTTAATAATTATGACTTAGTATCTCAGAAGTTAGAGTAATTTCATAATTATGACTTAGTATCTCATAAGTTAGAATAATTTAATAATTATGACTTAGTATCTCAGAAGTTAGAGTAATTTCATAATTATGACTTAGTATCTCATAAGTTAGAATAATTTAATAATTATGACTTAGTATCTCAGAAGTTAGAGTAATTTCATAATTATGACTTAGTATCTCATATTTTTTTACTTTTGTTCAAAATTATGACTTAATAGCTCTTTTTTTTTTACTTTTGTCATCATTATGATTCAGTAATAATTATGACTTTGTATCTCAGAAGTTAGAGTAATTTAATAATTATGACAGTATCTCATAAGTTAGACTTATTTAATAATTATAACTTAGTATCTCATAATTTAGACTTAATTTCATAATTATGACTTAGTATCTCATATTTTTTTACTTTTGTCATAATTATAAGTTTTTGTTATAATTTCAGCTTTTTAATCTCATAATTATTAGTATCTCATATTTTAGACTTTTTATTTCATAATTATGACTTAGTAACTAATTTTGTACTTTTGTCATAATTATGATTCAGTATCTCTCATAATTTAGACTTAATTTCATAATTATGACTTAGTATCTCATATTTTTTTACTTTTGTCATAATTATAAGTTTTTGTTATAATTTCAGCTTTTTAATCTCATAATTATTAGTATCTCATATTTTAGACTTTTTATTTCATAATTATGACTTAGTAACTAATTTTGTACTTTTGTCATAATTATGATTCAGTATCTCATTATTTAGACTTTTAATTTCATAATTATGACTTAGTATCTCATATTTTTTTACTTTTGTCATAATTATGTTTTTGTTATCATTTCAGCTTCTTATCTCATAATTTAGACTTTTTATTTTGTAATTATGATTTAGTATCTCTTTTTTCATTTTTACGTCATAGTTATAACTCTGTATCTCATAATTTAGACCTTTTATTTCATAATTATGACTTGGTATTTCATAATGTTGAAATGAACATGAACTATTTTTTCCATTGTTAGTTCATTTTAGCTAGTGTTAAGTTTTGCTAAAAGTTTGACTTTTCCATCACTTCTTAAGACATTTCCAGGCCTGTAAATCACAACTGTAATATTTTGCAGATATTTCCAGGTTTTCATAAGGAATATGTCCCAGCTGTTTAGCATCAAGAGTCTGTTCTCTCCTCTGATGTGTCATCTGGTCTCAGTGTTTGTGCTGTGCACCGGTGAGTGTGTGTGAGAGTGTTTGGTCTGCGCTGACGTGTGTGTTTTGTCTGCTGGTTCAGATTCACTCCAGAGCATGAGTCTCTCCATCGGCGGTCGCGTGTACGTGCTCTCCTTCTCTCTGGAGTTCCTCCACTTCATCCTGCGGTTCTGGAACCAGATCTTCACCTGCGGGACACATGAACCGGATTCAACAAACTGCATCGACTTAGAGTGTGAAAACCCAGGTTTGACGTCAAACCGTAAATATACAGGTGTCTATTGATCGCATTCAGCTTAAAGCATTTATTATGTTAATCAAAACAGTTTACAATTTTTATAATATTTTGGGGTTGAGATTTTTTTATGTTTTTGAAAGAAGTCTCTTCTGCTCACCAAAGGTGCATTTATTTGATCAAAAATACAGTAAATACAGTAATATAGTGAAATATTATTACAATTTAAAAAAGAAGTTTTCTACGTGAATATGTGTTAAACTGTAATTTATTTCTGTGATGCGCAGCTGTATTTTCAGCATCATTACTCCAGTCTTCAGTGTCACATGATCTTCAGAAATCATTCTAATATGCTGATTTGCTGCTCAAGAAACATTTCTGATTATTACCAATGTTGAAAACAGTTGTGATAATGAATATTTTTATGGAAACCATGATGCATTTTATTTTTCAGGATTCACAGATGAATAGAAAAAAACAGCATTTACTTGAAACAGAAATCTTCAACATTATAAATGTCTTTACTGTCACTTTTTGAACGGGTCCTTACTGAATAACAATATTAATTTCTTTAAAGAGTAGTGTATCACGGTTTCCACAGCTTTCTGAAGCAGCACAGATTGTTCAGAAGGTTGTGCGTGTGTTTCTGTGCTCTGACCTGTGTCTCTTTCAGACAGAGGTCGGTGGCCAGTCTGTTGCGGTCGGTCTTGCTGATGTATTTCTGCTTGTGGAAGGTTCTCTCCAGCTCTCGTCTCTGTTCCTCAGAGAACACGGCCCTCCGCAGGATTCCCGGCCGCGACCTGGAGCTCAGCGCTGGACTCCACAGCACAGACCCCACGCCCTCTGCAGGACACACACGTCACCATGTGAGGATGCAGGACTTTATTTATACATTTATTGATTTATATATTATATGTATAGGATCCATCCCTTCTAAGAGTACACAAATAGTGTATCATATAATATGCTATTATACGTGTCAAGGTGATAATATTTTAGTTTGTTAGTTTGTTGGGGTGTTGTATTGATTGATTAGGATTTATATGTACTATATTTTATTTTGCTTTGTTTTGTTTTATTTATCCTAAGGGTATAAAAATATGTCTAAAAAGGGAAATATGACCTCTGTAATTGAGATGTTTGTATTTATTTATTTAATTTTACATTTTTATAGGGAATGTATAGGATTTAGCCCATCTATTTTTATTTATATTAATTATTTTTTGTTTTATTTTATTTATTACAAATGTATAGGGTTTGTCCTAAGGGTATAAATATATGTTTAAAAATAAATAAATAAAAAAGGGGTGGGGGCATGACCTGTGTAATAATATTTTAGTTGTTAGTTTGTTGGGGTGTATTTATTTATTTATAGAGAATATTCATAGAATATTTATAGAGAATATTTAGCCCTTCTAAAAGGTAAACATGACCTCTGTAATATATATATATTTATTAAAATTTTTATATTTATATTTTTTATAGGGAATATATAGGATTTAGCCCTTCTAAAGGTATTTTTATGTTATTTTATTTTATTTATAGGAAATGTATAGGATTTATGAGAGGTGTAAATATATATTTATATGTATTTATTTATTTATTTGTTTATGTATTTTTGTATTTTTATAGAGAATATTTAGCCCTTTTAATTTTTTTTTTTTTATTATTATTAATAATTGTATTTTATTTATAGGATATGTATAAGATTTATAGGAAATGTAAAAGATAAAAAATGTGATGTAGCACTTCTAAGAGTATTTTATTTTATTTTATTTACAGTAAATGTATAATATTCATCCTGAGGGTATAAATATAAAAATATAATATAATATATGTATATAAAATGAGTCTATTTGTGGCTAAATACTTGTTATGTGATTGTTTAAGCGTGTTACATTGCAAATTTTGCTATACTTTTACATAACGCCAAACAACATTCTGACTTCCCATGATTCATCAGAGCGATGTTTGGATTAGAAAACTGAATGATTATTTTTTCTCTGAGGTGCTCTGAACACATTGAGAGATGCCTTTTTAATGTGCTGGACAAATCGCCAGAGCAGCCACCGTCAGCGCGTGAGTAAGCAGGTTAGTCATGCTCTCTGCTCGCTATTGAGTCTAAATAGTTTCCACTTAAACGCTCTATTTAAGGGTCAGCTGACCCTCAGCCCCGCCCACACACCTGCAGCATTATCTACTGCTCTCAGTGTTTCCTTTCAAGAGATGGACGCGTCTCATTCTCTGTACAGGGAGATGAGCTGGAAAAAAGTCTATAAAAGTAATTTCTATTGAGGGCGTCGTGTCTACGGGGGCCCGAAGCGCACAGAATGGACGGATGGGGAGCTGAGGGCGGCTTCTAGAGCTCCGCTTTCATTAGCGAGAACAAAAAGCCCGGAGAAGCGACTCCGCCCTGCGCGGTGCAGGAATGCGGGTCATTGTGCGACCCGGACTCTGATCCCAGACCCGCGGCCGGGTCGCATGCGTGCGGTCGCTCTGAATGCAGAGTCCGAGGAGCCAAGAGCGCTGTGGGAAAGTGTCAAAGCGCTAAACTGCTTTCAGGGAGGCTTTCTTAAAAGCCCCGAATCTGACAGATCTGCGGCAGAGATTCAGAAGGGCGATAAAGACATGGTTGCATTCACTAGCACAAGTTTTCTTTACAGTCGTACTCATTATAATGTACTTTGAGTTCATTTATTTAAACCTGGAAATAAAGTTTCAGCATTTTAAATCATTTAGGAAAAAGTTATGACAAAATGAAGAATTATTTTCATGTATACATATTTTAAGAAATGTTGTATATATTATGACAATGAAGAAATAGTTTTATATATATAAAAATATATAAATATTTTCTTTTATGTATAAATATAGAAGTTATGACAAAATGAAAGAACTATTTTATATATAAAAGATAACTTGTGACAAAATGAAGATATAATTTTACATGTAAATAAAATATATGATGCATAAATATTTTATATGAAAGAAACGTTATTACAAAAAGAAGAAATATTTTAATAAAAAGAAAAAAAAAATTATATTTAAATAATTGTATAATTATACTTCCATAAAACATTACAACAAAAAAAGAAGAGATAAAATATTAATATATATACATATATAATATCTAGATAAAATATTTTTATGTATACATATTTTATATATAAAAGTTGACATAAAAGTTTAGGGGTAGGGTTGGTGTAGGGCAATAGAATATACGGTCTGTACATTAGAAAAACCATTATGCCTATGGAGAGTCCCCGTAAACCATAAAAACAAACCTGCGTGAGTTTGTGTGTGTGTGTGTGTGTGTGTGTGTGTCTTACTAGGGAACCGAGGAGCAGACAACATCACAGCTCCAGGTCCAGAGCAGCAGGGCAGAGAAACACTGGTCATAATAACTGGAGCGACAGACAGACAGATGGATGAGATCTAGTTTTCTAGATCTTTACATTTCTTGATAAAACTAAAATTGAATTAATTTTCTTCAGACAGTGAAGGAAAAACATCAAGTGCAGCATATATAAAGTTGACAGACCATGTTTGAGCACAACATAATTTCCATACTTTAAGTGATATTTCATAGCTTCAAAATTACTATTATGCTATTCTATACTGTTATTCTATCATGTGAAAATAGTCAGTAAATAATGAGTATATGTGTCCAAACGTTTGATTGGTAGTGTGCAGAATGCATTTATGTGATTAGATTCTGAAAAGTAGGCAGCACGCAAATAATTAATATTGCAATGTGTAACTATGTCCATATATGTTAAAAGTAATCAATTTGAACCTAGAAATATGCAGGTAAATGTGCTGTGGGAAATAAAATTAATCAGAATATTTTAAACAAGTAGTTGACAGTGTTGTCAGTGATCTGTAGTGTGATATGCATTATTAAAAACTACTTTTCATTAAAGTTTCATTAAAAATTTCATTAAAGCTTTAATACATTAAAATATATTGTAATATATAGATTGCATGGAATATGTAAACAATTAATTATATATATATATATATATATATATATATTAACCTAAAATCCTAATTCTAATCTTTTTTTCTTGGTATTTAAAAGGTAATACATATCGGTGCATTCAGTGAAAAGGAAAAAAATGACAGATAGTCTCAATTCAAACCCTCAAACTTAAAAAAAAAATTACAAATATCATTTAATATAAAACCAAGATAGATTGATAGAACGATAGAAATATTCCTCTTTCCGGTATATTACTGTAAAATATTGGTGCTGATGTACAGTGAAAAAGTGGCTATGTTTTAACTTTAAATACCGTTTGTAAATATAGATGTATTTTCACAAAAATATTGAGAATCTGAACTGATCAAAGCTTTTCATTTAATTAAAAAGTACTTGAATTATGTTGATGATGTTATGAGAATGTAAAACTGTATGAGATATTCATTATCATTATTAATATAGTTAACTAAAACCATAAAAAATACATTTTCATTACTTGAAATAAAAATATATATTTTTAATATATTTTAAATGTACTTGTTTTATTTCAGTTTGTTGCCAAGGCAACATTTCTCATTTTCATTCAAATTAAACTTATAAATAACTCAAACTGAAACTGAAATAAAAAAGAATTAATTAACAACGAAATGACTAAAAAGTAACAAAAATGAAAATAAAATCAGAAATATTCATAAAAACTATATAATGACTGTTTCTCTCAGGTGGTCTTACCTGACGGGGTCTGAGCCCGTTCCTGAGAAACGTAAAGCAGAGCCGGGGAGCATCTCTTGAGACAGACACCTGGCGCAGGTGCACGCAGCAGGTTCTCAATCAGAAAACACTTCCCAGAATTCCCAAATCCAGGATGCCTCGGAGGAAACCCAGCCATGTCTCTGCGGTGCCTCGTCCTCCGATCTAGAGAGTTTCTCCCTCTCGCGTGTGAGAGTTCACTTCATTAAAGAGCACAAAGAAAGCAATGCGCCTCTCTGATTGGCTCTGATGAGACCGGCTCTTTCTGTGGGACAGAAGGTGGAACCCCTTCATTCATGATGTCAAAGCTCCCATTAAATGATAGACACTGGAGACAATGGACTCCCGGCCAAAGTTTAACTCGCACACCAAACACAGCCCGGCGGCAGTAAATACTGATATCTGTTTTCAGCGCCGGCCATTGAGGAGGCCATTGAGAGACGGCCTGGAAAATATCTGTGCCTCAGTCTATCAATGTGGACTATATTTCTTTACTTTGTTGTTGTGCGTCCTCACAGCTGTGGACAATGAGAGCTTGTTTGCAATCAACAAGTGGTATTTTACCGTAATTAATGCATGTGTGAAAATCACAAAAACTTTTAAAGAACACGTCGGACCTGTTTTTTACCCAAAAATCAGAAGAAATCAATTATTTTTGCATGAAGCCTAATTTTAGTATCTTTCAGATTTTTTCTTTAATAATTAAGCGCATTGCCCTAATTTAGTAAAACATGTGAAAAATAATGCTATATTATTTTAAACTGTATTTAAAATGTATTTAAAAATCGCTGTACTGCCTTCATGCTAAATTACTTTTTTTTTTTTTTTTTTATAATTTCATTTTAAATACTTTTACACAATAAATTATGGTATTACAGTAATGAAAATCTAATGAGTATTGGGAATAAAAAAAAAAATTCATTCTTTTTTATTTTAGGATAAAAGATGAAAAGATCAAATTTAATTTTAGCATAGTTAGGATTATTTTCTTAAAAATTAAATATGTTACCCTGATTTAGAAAGAAAGAAAGAAAGAAAGAAAGAAAGAAAGAAAGAAAGAAAGAAATAAAGAAAGAAAGAAAGAAAGAAAGAAATAAAGAAAGAAAGAAAGAAAGAAAGAAATAAAGAAAGAAAGAAAGAAAGAAAGAAATAAAGAAAGAAAGAAAGAAAGAAAGAAATAAAGAAATAAAGAAAGAAAGAAAGAAAGAAAGAAAGAAAGAAAGAAAGAAAGAAAGAAAGAAAGAAAAAGAAAATCTCTTTAGCATTACTATAATGTGGAAAAATAATGATATATAGTATTTAAGTTGTTTTTAAAATGTAATTGTAATGCTGTTTATTGTACTGCCTTTTAATTTATACCAAATTACATTTAAATCTTTTTATTTTTAATAGTTTTACAGTACAAATGATGGTATTACAGTAATCAAAATCTAATTAGCGATCTTCATTTTCTTGATGCAAAATCTTATACATTTATTTAAGGGTAAACAATGATTCAGATATGTTTTTCCAAATTAAAACACTTAAAAATGTGTCTATTCTGTTGCAAAGCATAAATATTATGAAACACAGAACTGCTTTTGTTCTACATTTACTGCCAAAAAGTGGTGAGCATCATTTCACGTTTACCAAGAGTTTTCAGTGCGGCTGCAAACATGCTAGCAATGATCTGAATTTATGAAACCTACATATTTATTTCTATGAGAACAACATAAATATTACTCCAAAATAAATAAATTTTACTTGCATGAGCGTTCACTTTCAGATGAATAAAGTGCTACATGTTTCACACTGCAATGGCTCATCAATAGACGTGCATATTCATGTTCATCAACTAAATTCAGTCCCAAAAGTGTGTGAGATATATGAAAATGTTTTTGACACTAATATAACTTCATAGAACATATGTGACCCTGCAGCACAAAAGCAGTGTTAAGTCGCTGGGGTATATTTGTAGCAATAGCCAACAATACATTGTATGGGTCAAAATTATAAATCTTTCTTTTATGCCAATACATGTATATATAATGTATATATATATTGTGTGTGTGTGTGTGTGTGTGTATGAATATATTTGTGTGTGTGTAATATATGTGTAATTTATGTAATAATACCTCATCACGGCATAATTAAATAAAGCATAATTAAACATATAATTTAAAGCTTCCCACAAAAAATAATACATCTTTATTAGTAGTATTTTATATATTTTACTGAATGACTAAAATAAGTAATAAAAGAAAAGGTTCATAATATATATATTTTATTTTTTATTTTATTTTTTTTTGTGTGAGGAGCTTTTAAATTATTTGCTCAAATATACATAAACATTTCTTTCACTTATTGTCGTAATCCCTCACACCAGTCGGCATGGTTTTCCCAAACAGGCAGAATTAGTCCTTTATGAAGTGGAGTCACTAAAACGTTAGTTCATGTGAACCCATTTGAAGCTTTTATGCCTTTTAAAGGACAACTGAAGAAATGCGAGCCCTCACTGACAGTCTGTAAAGAGTGGGCGCAGTCCTCTCGCTGTGAGAGCAGCTGTGAGAGCTCGCTCTCCTCTTTCACGCCGTGACCTCTTGAAAACGGCCGTCTCTCAATGCTTCTGTCCTCTGGGCTCTTCACACGCTGAAAGAGCACAATGCGGGGAGACTCTGTAATGAGGAGAAACTCTATCAGGCCTGTTTGATTCACGCTCACAGACCCTTGTGGATTCAATTTTGTTCAGCACATAAAACATTAGCACATGAAACTGAGAAGAGGTTCAACTTCTGTCGAGCTCTGCTTCTGATAAAGTAGTTCTGCAATAAAACCTGTCAGCAATTCGATCAGGAAATCTGCTTCTGTATTTCAAATCACGCTCTATTAAAATGTCACTTTCTTCATTCATATTCCTAATAGCAGTCAATCACGTCCCACTTATACACTCAAATAAATCATCTTCTGAACCAGTTTACTGAAATGAACTGTTCAAATGAACCGATTCACTCAAATTAATCAGATATTCTCGAAGAGTGTGTTTGACTATCATCACAATACACTACTGTGATACATATTTATATATATATACACTATTATATTACACTATATATATATATATATATATATATATGTATGTATGTATATATAAACATTTTATATATATTATATATCGTATATTATATATTTTTTAATATTTTTAATCTGTTTGTCATTATCTGTCATTTGCATAGGGTACCATTTAAATCAAATTTTATTTTATATATTTTTTTAATATAATTTTGAATGGTTTCTATTATTGGTATCTATCATTTTTATGTGGAGAAATTTATCATTTAAAAATGATATTTTATTTTATTTTTTTAATTTTAGATGTCTACAGTATCTATCAAAAGTTTGAGGTAAGTTTATAAAAGAAATTTATACTTTTATTAATCAATGCATTAAACTGATCAAAAGTGACAGTAAAGACATTTATAATGTTACAAAAGTTTCGAATAAATGCTGTGCTTCTGAACTTTCTATTCATCTGTGAATTCTGAAAAATAAAATGTATCACGGTTTCCACAAAAATATTGTGCAGCACGACTGTGTTCAACATTGATAATAATCAGAAATGTTTCTAATAATCAGCATATTATACTGATTTCTGAAGATCATGTGACACTGAAGACTGGAGTAATGATGCTGAAAATACAGCTGCACATCACAGAAATACATTACAGTTTAACAGATATTCACATAGAAAACTGTTCTTTTAAACTGTAATAATGTTTCACAGTTTTTACTGCATTTGTGATCAAATACATGCAACCTTGGTGATAAAAAAAAACATTTAAAAAGTGTAAATAAGTAGTGTAAAATGTTGAGGTGGCTTTTTTTTTGTTTAAAGCTGAGTTAGTACAAATAAATGTAGTTAAGACTAATTTTAGGCCAAATATGTGTCAAAAACACAATAATATACAGTAGAAACATTTATTATTTACAGCACAAAAAACAACGAAAAAACAGACATAAATACACTTACATCTGGATATCTTTCTTTACAAATTACATCTGAATAGAAAATAATATTCTTTACAATTATTTAATCTCTATGTACAACAGTCGGAGTGCATCTCAAGAGCTGTGTGTGTGTGTGTGTGTGTGTGTGTGTGTGTGTGTGTGTGTGTGTGCGTGTGTGTGTGTGTGTTAGAGGGAGAATTACATAGTAGAAATCACATCGCTATCATTTCAAACCCTCCATGATGGTGTTACTTATGTTTTAGTACGTCTGCAAGAGGTCTGTTAAAGATCTCTAAGCATCTGCTGTGTACAAACATCTGACAGACGTCTCTAAGATGTCAGATTTCAATCATAAACATCTTAAAGCCATCTATTTGACATCTGATAGGAGATGTCCTGTAGACGTATTGCAGATGAGCAAACACTCTAAAAAATATGTCTTACAGATGTAATGCAGAGGTCCAGCAGACGTCTCCACGATGTACGCCTGCTAAATTAGTTCAGCATTTGTGGTGTTTCCATTTGCGTGCGGCCACCGCGATGTGCAGGTCTTTCTTGAGCCACGGGAACAGACTGGAGAGCTGTATGGAGCCGCTCGCGCGCATGGTGCCCGTGATGAGGTAGAGCTGCGCGCGGCCGGGCCGGACCAGCGAGAGCGCGCATCTGAGGTTGATGAGCAGCCAGCGCTGGATCAGACTGGCCGTGTCGTACGGGAGCAGCGGGCCGCGCTGGATGAACTCCACCGGGCCTTCCACCGTCAGCTCCGGCTCAGAGGACAGCAGGCGGCGCCGAGAGATCTTGACTTTCACAGCTGTGGGGAGAAAAGACGGTGAGTTAAAGAGTCCCCAAACCACATCACAAGACTTTAAGCTTCCTCAAAACCAGCCGAACCGATGTATATAGGCAATAAGAATCGCTTACCGAAGTCGGTGAGGCACAGGGCGTCCAGCACAGTTCTGAGAGACGGCGCCTCCTCCACAGACGGGCAGCTTTGGCACACAGGCTGAGGGAATTCTGCCGACACCACAATATATATATATGGTTAAATCAATGCACATGTTTGCATTGGCGGACGCTTTTATTCAAAGAGACTTCCAGTGCATTCATTTATCTATATTTAATGACATTCATCAATATGTGGGTTAAAATTTGCTG